CATTTCACCAGGGTTTTACCATCTGGCCTGTCTGTCTCGCCTGGCGGCATGTGTTTGTCTTCAGTTGTGTGGTTGTCTTCTTGTTTGTGTGTGGTGTTTGAGAGGGCACGTATGCCTGTGTGGTTTTTGCATTCCTCTTTGTACGTACCGTACCGGGGGTATTTTTATGTATGCTTACATAAAGGCTGTCTGTCTTTCATTTCTCGCGCTTTGTCCTTAATTTACTTATATTGTCCATAAAAATGTTCCCGTGGTTCATCGTTTATTTATTTATCAATATAAATGGAAAAATAGCATACCCGTTTCTCTTACGCTTGCGGTACATCTTTAGAATGGGACTTGCCTGCGGTACATCTTTAGAATGGGACTTGCCTGCGGTACACCTTTAGAATGGGACTTGCCTGCGGTACACCTTTAGAATGGGACTTGCCTGCGGTACACCTTTAGAATGGGACTTGCCTGCGGTACACCTTTAGAATGGGACTCGCCTGCGGTACACCTTTAGAATGGGACTTGCCTGCGGTACACCTTCAGAATGGGACTTGCCTGCGGTACACCTTTAGAATGGGACTAACTCCCTAACTGGGAATGGTTGGCGTGCTTGGCCATCGTGCACCTGATATCCTGCTGAGCTCAAGATAGAGCGCTTCGCTGATGTCGCCATAGATAAAGTGATTATCCAGCTCAAGACCCTGGAGGCCACGGAGAAGCGACGCATCGCGGTAGATGCGATACACCTCCAGAAGTTATTGGCATTTCCAGTAAAGTTTCAGTTGAGAATACACGATCAATTGGACAACTCCGCGGTTTCTACCAGATGGTTGCTATACAAATTACTCGGTACTTGTACAAATCAAGAGAAAATATCTAAACAAATATTCTATTTGCGTCAAATGTAATTGCTGATTCGTAGTGGTCCCTGAGCCACACTTCCTTGTCGTTCTTGTGTTTCACATCCTCTAAAGCTTTTTCTCCCGTATTACACGCAAAATAATTATTATTATTATGACCAGTCCATCTTTTACTGTTATTCCTATTATTATCTTGCCTCATGAACTTGTCCCCCATTTTCTCTTGCCTCATGAACTTGTCCCCCATTTTCTCTTACCTCATGAATTTGTCCCCCATCTTCTTTTGCCTCATGAACTTGTCCCCCATTTTCTCTTGCCTCATGAAGTGGTCCTCACTCCCGTCTCTTCCCTCGTCTCGTGAAGTTGCCCAGACTTCCAGAGACTCCTCCGAAAGATAGGTTTCACCCCCCCCCCCCCACGATCTTTCACAGAACCTAGCTGATGTCCCTACAACCGCTGTTCCTCCAACCCCCATCCCATCCGTGAAGACAGGGTCCTTCCCGCCACCAGTGGGAGGAAGACTGCTGGCTCTTCCCAATAACTCTGGTTCTCCCAACTACTCACTTCCATCCTTACAGAGTTCACGCAACAAAGGAAATCTCACAATCTCACTAACAACCAAAACACGCGAAGACCGCCAATTTGTCGATAACCTTTTTTTCCTGCACGCGGGAGATAGGGCACGGGCGAACAGGTCAAAACATCGCCTTAACAAATAGGTCAATACAGTGCCCCATGTCTGGAACCATATGACGAAATTATGAAATCTGTTTATATTTTGAATGAGTTTATTTTATTGTATTCAGTATACATGCATCAAATTATATAGGCCACCTTATATATATATATTGCTGGCTGTAGCGCAGCTTGTTAAAAATTTGAGTCTTTGGCAAAATGGAAAGAACTGTGAAAGCCACATGTCACAGTACCACATGCCCATACCTACCCCAGTGCCCAAGGCAGTACTAAGCAGGCAATAGCCAACATCATGAAGGGTTATCCCTCTCATCCACTACTGCAAGACTCGCTCACACAAAGGTGCCCGAGGCGCCGGTTTCTCCATAAAATACGAGGTGTTCAAAGAGGCAGAGTGCGACAAGTCGGTATACCTCAGTCCCATCACATCCTTGGAGGCGTCGGAGATATTCTTATTACCGCCAGAATGTGAGCATGGCAGATGAAGATAGAAGGAAGAGATGAAGGAAGGCTGAAGAGGAGGACGCAAGTATAGGTAAGTACGGAAGTGGACAGACTATAAAACGGGAAGACATAGATCACGTATCAAGGAAACTTGTGAGAGACAGGTAAGGTAGTGAGTATAGGGAGCACCACACCCATCGTCTTCACTACACCTCCACCATATTACAGCCAGAGTCATCACCACACCCCCAGGCACATTACACTCTCTTCACTTCCACCCAACAAATGTGTGTAAGTGTTGTTGTGTGAAGTCTCCCAGCGTGGAGCACGCTTCCCGGAGTGATGGATACCTCACACCTAACACCCAGGACAGGAAGCCAGCGGCCTCAAGCTTAGTGCTTCCCCTCTACATGGCTCGTTTACACCCCCCTCATCCTCCCTTCCTCTCTACCTCCCTCACCCTCCATCCCTCTCTACCTACCTCACCCTCCGTCCCTCTCTACCTCCCTCACCCTCCCTTCCTCTCTACCACACACGCTCCCCCTATCTACAAAGGCGTTCTTCCAGATTAATGAGAGAAAAGTTTTAATACATGAGACGGTAGGAAAGGGAGTGGGGAGGAGTGGGAGTGTATTGGAGAGAGAGAGAGAGGGTGGGGTGAGATGCAGGAGGTACGGGAGAAGAGAGGTAGGGTAGGAACTAGAAAGGGAAGGCAGGAGGTACAGCCGGAGGGAGGTAGGATAAGAGGGAGGATGGTTAGGGAAGGAGGAAGGTAAGGTAGTATAATACCCTATATAGTGTAATAAAAACCTAGTATAATAAAACAGAATAGAACCAGTGAAGAGCAGAGGTGCCATAGGCACAGTCAGAGAACACTGTATAAACATCAGAGGTCCGCGGTTCACATCCTCCCAGTGACCATAAGAAATATTGCCGGAACAACCGTGGACATCTTCAAGAGAAAACTAGATAGTTTTCTTCAAAAAGTGCCGGACCAACCGGGCTGTGGTGGACATGTGGGGCCTGCGGGCTGTTACTAGCAACAGCCTGGTGGACCAAACTCTCACAAGTCAAGTCTGGCCTCGGGCCAGGATTGGGGAGTAGAAAAACTCCCTGAACCCCATCAAGCAGGTATCAAGAAGGTTGAGAGGTAGGGGTGGAAGATAGGGATATGCAGCAGCAACATAACAAGACACTTCACTCTTACACAATGTAAAACATCCAGTTATGAGTTTGGGGAGGGAGGTGAGGCCTCCCCTATCTATCCCAGCCTACACAATAAATCCCGAAGCGTCAGCCTCAGGGCTGGCCAATAACTGGATGGGTGACAGCATGGACAGAGCCTCGTCCTTAGCTAGGCGAGTCTCAACAAGCGATGCATAGGTCTCAAATAACGTACCCCCTTTTTATATGTATCTCGTAGTATCCCAACAATAAGTTTAGTAATGAAAGGAAGAAGGAATTTGTTAATAATGATGACGCCCCCCGACCCCATCCTCAGAGGTGCAATAAGTAAGTACTCTGAGAGAGAACTATCAACATCAGAGGCCCGAGACTTCAACACGGTTCCACTACACATAAGGAACATAACTGGCCGACCCCTCACAGTTTTCAAGAGAGAACTCGATAAGCACCTTCAAAGGATACTTGATCAATCTGGCTGTGATTCATACGTAAGACTGCGAGCAGCTGCGTTTAACAGCCTGGTTGACCAGTCCAGCAACTAGGAGGCCTGGTCGAGGACCGGGGCGCGAGGACGCTAAGCCCAGGAATCATCTCAAGGTAACCTCAAGGTCAAGGTAACCCCGGCAAGATAGTCTTAAGTCCACAAGGTGAACATGCACCTACGATCTCAAGTTTACAATGGTAATATATATACAATGTCAACACTACTCTCCTAGGAGCAAAACTGTATGGTACGTTACACACTCATTCACGCTCTACACACTTCAGCCCAACCCTACACATACCCCTTGACTCCCATGCCAGTGGTACAGCCCTTCCATGCCAGTGGTACAGCCCTTCTATGCCAGTGGTACAGCCCTTCCATGCCAGTGGTACACGGCCATGACGCGGGTAAACATTCTACACACACAGGTAAGCACACGCGTTCGCCTTATACACTTCGTCCACAGTCAAAGGAATGCGAAAAAAAATTAAACAAAAATGCACATAACTGTTGTGTTTCAATATAGCGAACAAATATCCCATCACTCAGGCTACGAGCTTTTGTTTATATTTTGGGCAAGCGCGTGAGCCAGCTTTGTTTACGTGTGGCCACGTGTTGTCTGAAGCTGCGTTGGACTGAAGCAAATACTTTCCGTTAGCAAGTAGCGCTACGTGTGCTTAACCTGCCATCACCTTGTTCCATGATGGTGTTGCCATGTTCACTATTGACGGTTTTGCATACACTATGTCTTGTCTTGAAAATCATTCTTGTTCAGACGTGGCATTGTCTGCAACCAGTAAAATCCACAAGCAGATCCTAGTGCAGTTTAAACTGTATATAGGACCAGTGTTGTTGTGCTCTCTCAGGAGCACAGTACCATCACTCATTACTATGACTGGCAGTGGACTGTGGAAGATATCAGAGAGACTGGTTCCAAATCTGAACACATAAATAACATCACATGAGACCAGGAGGCATAGCAGGATGTGCAGAATACCCCCGTTGAAAAGCACAGGTGCAATAGGTACGCTGACGGAGAACTCCGTCAACATAAAGGGCCCAAGACTGTTCAACACTCCCCCGCTACACGTAAGGAGCATAACTGGCCGGCCTATCACAGTGTTCAAGAGAGAACTCGACAAACACCTCCAAAGAATATCTGATCAACCAGGCAGTGATGCATACGTCAGGCTGCGAGCAGCCGCGTCCAAGAGCCTGGTTGACCAGATGACCAACCGGTAGGCCTGGTCAACTTTTAAACTCAGTAGGCGGGGCCCCATAACCTCACTCCCCCGTAGACACTGATATGTAAGTACAACAAATCCATGTTGGGTACTCACCTGGAGGATGCTCTTGTCAAGGGAGGCGAGGATGAGGACGGGCGAGGAGTCTGGGGCGTGGCGAGGGGGGTGGAGCAGGGGCGAGGGGGCCCGCAACCCTCCCTCGGTGTTCAACACGCTCTCTGCCACAACACACACAACAACAATTATATTATGATCTGTATCACTCTTAGAGTTATAATAAAACAACTTCCTAACACGAGATAGTTGGGGTAAGTTATAAATGTCAGCCCATCCTCCTGAAATGACCACTTAAATAGTCTGCAAAAATAATGATAAAACAAAACTAAAATATCCCTAGGCCTAGTATAGCACATATATGTACTATATTAGGCAAAAGATAACGTGTATTAGACCAAGGATTGCTAGGAGAGCTTGTCTTATATTTATCTTACAGATGAAAAATTGTTTCCGGTTTGTCCACATTCTGTAATGCAAAAGTCAACTTTCTGTTCCATCACTACATCTTGGTATAGTGTCCAGCAAATAGTTACTATGAGTACTTTCGTTTTAGTGGGATGGGTTGGGTATACGAGGCGTCTTATCCCAGCGTCAAGGCTGTCCTCATATCCCTCGCATGTGCTACATAATCATACTTGCTCTGCGTTCTCTTCTTCTTAACCTTTCATGAGCCACATTTACATCATACCTTTAAATGCAGCGCAATCTTAAACACGGCCTACGTCCCCTTAACCGTACTCAAGGTACGAACAGTTCTTATATACGGGTTCCTTCGTATTTATCGTACGAGTTCCTTCAAGCTGATCCATTATGTGTCTCTGTAAACCTTTCCACCACCGCCCACGGGATGGGTATGGGGTGCATAATTAATAAATTAATTGAAATGCCTTGCTTACTGTAAAACTCACCACAGCCGCTCAGTACTCCATCTCCTGGCTCTTAAATGTCACCTACTCTTAACTAAAACACGAACCTCTTCATTTAAACCCTATATCATCCTATCTAATGAGAAGATTAGTCTTAAGTATGACTTGTCACTTTAAACCACAACTTGCCTCTTTAAACCTAAAATATAACCCGTCATATTTTAAGCCTTATGTAAGAGCTGCAGTTATAAACCAAACAGATGACTCGTCTTGGTTTAGGGCTCAGAAGGCGCGGTGAAGTACATGATGCTGGGTCACTCAGTCACTCATGGTAAGGCCACCAGTGGATGGGTGACCGCCCACACAACCTCGCCCGTGGCTAGGAAGCTCTCGATAAATCTAACTGGCTTCCTGTCCCCGACAATGAGAATCTATACTATACCACATAGAACGATTAATTCCCCTTTTTACACTGTATATAGGACCAGTCCTATTTCTACATTTTATATAGGACAGTTCTCTTTTTACGTTTACAAAAGACCATTTAACTGTTTACATTTACAAACGACCATTTCACTTTTTATATTTTTATATAGGGCTAATCCTATTTTTAATTCTTACGTAGGACTAGTAATATTTTATATAGGACTAGTCAACTTTTTGCATTTTATATAAGACCAATATTTTTGTCTTTTATATACCAGTTCCCTTTATATTTTGTTTAAATAGGAGCAGATATGTTTAAACTCTTATACAGGATCAAGCCTCTATCTTTTATATTGGATCAATGTTTTTTCTACTTTTATACAAGATGTCTACTTTCAATATCAATCAAAAATATTTGCTAATCTTAACCCTTAAAATGGCACTTCTCCTTCAGCATCTTATGCCCTTAATATTTTGTTGTAAAATTAAAATTTTGTCAATATGAACCAAGAAAGCCAGAGGAGAACATGCTATTAATATTATTATATATAAAAATAGTAGTACCAAGACACATCACCTTATTTTTTACATTAAACGTGCAGCATAAATGTTTACATGAATTTAAATTGTATTTGAAATGTACAAAAATATTCAGCATGTGGTTTGGTTCATTAAAAATAGTCATATGCAAAATTAAAAAATTAAAAATAAATTGTCAGTAGAAATTAAACCTCAAAACTATTGTAATGGCGAAGCGGGCTACCGATTTGGAATATAAAAATGCTTAATAGGGAAAATACCCTCGAGTTTGGCCCCCAAAATGGAAACTAACGGTTAGAGTTTACAACATACAACTGATTGCAACTCACCTTCAAATTTGATGACATTTTGGATAACAGAGGTGACACTGGAGGTGACGGTGGTGCCGGTGGCGTGGACACTGGCCTCCGTCGTCGTCGTCGTCGATGTCCCCGCCCCCTTCCCCTGCTTCACCGCCTTCTCCTGATCGACCTTCTGCCTGCCTCCAGCCGAGTAGGGAGGAAGAGGAGTTGGGAAGGTCGGGGAGGTCGGTGTGGGTGTGATGGCTGCTGCTGCTGGTGCTCCGGCCTCAGACACCTGGCCCTGGAGAGCCTTCAGTCGGGACTCGATGGTGTTCATGCGATTCTGGGGGCGAAAGCGAGCATAGGAGAAGAGGCTCAGACTGGTCATATTTTGCGACGACGTCTGAGTCGTTGTCGTCGCAAATTTCTTTGCCGCGCCGAAGTTTTCACCCTCTAGATTAGAGTCCAGTTTTAGTTCCATGATGTAAAAATCCCGCGAGCCTTTATTTTACTTATCTGGCTGTTAATTTTTTTGCACTTTCTCCTCAGGGTATCTTCAATATTTTTCCATACAGCTTCCTTTTGCCACAATGACACACCGATTTAACCAATATTTGCCTCTTTGTTTGGGAAACCTTTCGGTCAATTGTATAAATGACAACGTGGAATTTTTGGCAAGAGTTTGACAATTGAGTGTTTTTAACACATCCTGAAGGTTTAACACACTGGTTTGTTTTAGTTGATGTTCGGTTCATCAAGGAGCGTACAATACGGGGGCTCTTTAAACACAGCCCCGTGAGGCACTGCGTTATTTTGATACACGCCCAAAGGGTGCAGTGCTATTAGTAGACAGAGACTTAGAGCACTGTGCTACAAAACTTGTTCACTGTGCACTCGGATATTTGGAAATAGACCAACGTGGCGTTGTGCTGTTTAGCTACAGTATAACGAAACGACATAATTTAATTTGCATATTTAGCTGGAAGGGAAGGGAAAGGAACTATCAGAAAGGGCCAAGCCATTATGACTATACAGCACTCAGAAGGGATCAGGATAAGTATTTGGGATAGGACGGGGGGAAGGAATGATGCCCCCGGATGATGCAATGCCTAACCACTTGGATGGTTGGGGATTGAACTCCGATCTGCATGAAGCGAGACCGTCGCTCTACCATCCAGCCCAAGTGGTTACACATTTATAACATTTAAATAATGCCTGGAGCAACATTTAATCTATTGCTTTCACCCTCATAATGTTTATTAATATCTATCAATAAACTAATATGCGTATGGTTGTAGACGTGACATTTAGCTGGAAATAACATTTAAGTAATGCCTGTAGAGAACGAATTTCGTGTTCTATGTAAAGTGACGTCAGATATGGTGTGCCAGATGCGCGTTTACTGTAAACTATTGTACATTATGAACTACCGTAATCTAAGCTAATACTATGTCTTTGCCGTGAAAACGAAGTGAAAAGAAAGTTAGCAGTGACTTAAGCATTTAGTACTATGATTACTAATGGTGCACGTATATAGTTTAGAAAATGACATAACATGGCAAAGTTGGCCACTGAAGAATGCAAAACCTCGGATAAGAAAATAAAGAATATGAGCCATACTTTTATATTTTGTAATTCCTTAACCTCCATAAGGAGGTTTAGGAATATCTGGACATCAAAGGTATCGAGCAAGACAGGCAGTAGAGTTGTGTTGTCTCGCCTCATAACACACAAATGTCGTCGTCACCTCCTTTCTTAAACTTTCCTTCATTCCACTGTTGTTTACGCCTTCATTTGGCGATTTTCTATGCCCCCAGTCTTTTCACTCTTCCTGTCTCTCCCTCATGCCCCCCAGTCTTCCCACACTCTCCCCGTCTCCCCAAATCTCATGACCCCGCCTGTGTTTCTATCTCCGGACCTCTTGCACACCCATCGGCCTAACCCTAAATAAAATTCCTCCACATGTATTTAGTATTAATATACTGAAAGCTAACTACAGTGCAGTTTGTTGTGTCGTGTCCAGCTAGTTGCTTGATACTAGTGGTATGTGTGTGTGTGTGTGTAGGTGATCATGTAAAACGTCTAGGCTGCCGCGGGGCGTCCTGTTGACAGTTGGACTGAGCCATCGGTACAAACACCCACACACACACACATGTGTTTCTCATCGTCATTCTTGTGCGCCTCTTCCCAGCACAACACAGGCGCAAGTCCCGTAAAAATAACTAACAGACAAGACCCTCGTTCTCTGCCAATACATAAAAAACATTATTGCCTTCCTAGACGTGATGTTGTGACAATGGTTGGGGGGGGGGATCAACATATACCATTAACCCCCCCCAACCCGTTATAATATTTTTTTTAGTACTATATAGTCGTAATGGCTTGACGCTTTCCCCTGATAATTCCCTACCTTCAGGATACGAAACTCCCTACGAAGGACTGAGTTAGGTAAGAGAGAAAATCCACACAAGCCGTGATGAGGATTCGAACCTATCGTGATATATCACGATAATGTGATTTCTCTGTGTATTGAGTTAGGTAAAGCCAGGTGAGGCCTCGTCTAGATCAAGACCTTGTAACAAGCCAGATGGGAACGAACGGCTCCACCTCGTGTATTCACTCCCGCCAATAATTTAAGTAAATCGTATAATAAATAGACTCACGACAGAGAGCTCACGTATTGCAGGAAGTGACGACGTTTCGTTCCGCCCTGGACACATGATAATGGTCCGGGTCGGACCGAAACGTCTTCATTCCCTTTTATTTTCAGATGTACACTCAGGAGTTTCATTTTCCACCACGTTATTTTGTTTTACTGTCTGCAACAACATATTAATGTTATCTTTGGCAGTTAAAAAACAGAGGAGGTAAACTCCTTAGTTTATCTAATGTGTTAAAATTAACATGGGCGACTACTGCCGCCACCAACGACGACAGGCAGCAGGGCCAGGACGGCTGGAGCGACGCCCTGGGCACCTACAGCCAGCCAACACCGGCCGACCGGCCTTCTCTCCACTGGTAATTAATAACCTGAGGAAGACACTGACGCTTCACCAAGAATGTGGCCACCGCTGCCAGCTACATCACTGATACCCTTCCGCTCTCCCCCTCCTGTACACCACACCACGCTGCGCCTCTCATACAGTGCAGGGGTGAGGAGGCAGGGGCAGGTGGTGAAGGGGTGGAGAGGCAGGGGCAGGTGGTGAAGGGGTGGAGAGGCAGGGGCAGGTGGTGAAGGGGTGGAGAGGCAGGGGCAGGTGGTGAAGGGGTGGAGAAGCAGGGGCAGGTGGTGAAGGGGTGGAGAGGCAGGGGCAGGTGGTGAAGGGGTGGAGAGGCAGGGGCAGGTGGTGCAGGGGTGGAGAGGCAGGGGCAGGTGGTAAAGGGGGTATTACGTGTGGTTGTGAGGGGGTAACGAGACATGGGATACAGCTCCAGACTAATTACAGCCACCAGGTAAAAATAACCCTTTTCACTCGCCCTGAAGTAACCTGTCTCCTACCGAGTCTTGACCTTATCCCCATCCTAAAATGTCTAGCCCACACCCTTACTTCTGCTTTACTTCTTCATCATCTCCCGTCACCTGTCTCTTGACTTTTCCCGCGTCACCCTACTTGTCTTAATCCTTTCTCGAATCAAGTTTTGCCTTTTCCATGCAACATTCTGCCCCCTCCTTGCTCAGTATTTTTCCTCCCATTCCCCGTCTTCTCAGACATCGATTTTCTAATCACTTTAAGAGAACGTCGTCTTACCCCGCAGCCTACGACTGAACTGCTTCTTGACAGATTTTTGTCTATAATCTACTGTCACGTAATTACCCTTATCAAGTCGGGTAGTGGCTACTTGTATGCACTCATCGTCATGTTTATGTCTGATCTTCAGTCAAGCGTCATGTTCATTTAAGAGTTTGTCCAGTGTGTATTGTTATGTAAATAAATAATATCTTGTGTAAGACGATCAGGTGATTGTTGAGCTCGTTGGAGGGTGATGACACGTGGTAGGAACCATCCGGTGGTTTGGGGAGCGGTGACGCCGCCTCCACCAGGTGTCTATACAAGGCTTTGTCATCAGGTACACATGAGCCTCCACCGGCAGTCAAGGCTAAGTGCTCGCTTCGAGTGTACAGCCCTTCGCTTAGTGGAGCTGCTCTAGGCATACCAGTAAAGAGTGATGGTGTCTGGCAGTGTACAGTGTGTGGCCTTTGCTTGTAATAATATGTTGAAGCTGTGTCAGTCAGAGCTGAAGTAAGTGTAAAATACATTGTTTTAAATGTTATATAAAGTATACAAATTCAATTGTATTAAAGGTGTTAGTAACTTTAATCTTATTTATTAGATTAACTTGTATTTTATTTTTTTTTTACTTTTACTGGTTTCCCATATTCACATGGCATTACAAATGGACAAGTTTGTAATGTAAACATGAGCAGAGACTAACCTCAGTAACTCACATCAACGTTTAACCTACTCTTCCACGGCCACTGACGAGACCCTCTTAACTTTTTTTTTTTTTTTTTTTTTTTTTTTTTTTTTCCAACCTTTTCTTCCACTTGCCTGACCTGTTTGACATTATCTTTCTTATGTTTTAAAATCGGTTTAGAGGTTCAACAATTTTTCAAATTAATGATCTTGAAATTGTAATGTGCGTACGTTAACGGCAGCGAAGAGGTTCCACGAATTTCGCCCACTTGGGTAAAGAGCATCTCCTGTCGAGGTTGAAAGTATTGCCTAATATGTACGTTACATTGACAATTCTTAATTTAAGATTCGGATTCAGATTCAGATGTTTATTCAGGTAAGGTATATACATACAAGTGATGTTACATTAATGGATTGATATATAGATAGAGCTAGTACATACAATGCCTAAAGCCACTATTACGCAATGCGTTTCGGGCAAAATGTTATATTTGTTTCACGGTGAAACACTGACGTTCAATAAGGGGACAGTAATCTACCTCTGTCACCCTCACCTCGCCCTCCATCACGGGGCAACAACCAACACAAACCCACACTTTTACCTGCGAGTTATAATTTCTGGGTTAAACGGGTCCCGGGGATACGTATGACGCATACATCTGCTCTACCAAAGCCGCCCTCTAGTTTGTTGCAGTAATAGCGATACATACAACTTTCCAGCCCGGGGCCGTTCAGCAGTAAAGCGCGGATCAGGGTGAGGAATGGCCCTGATCCTCTTTCTTTACTGCTGAACGGCCCGTATCTTGCGTCTCACGTTCTCCATTCATACCAGTGTATTCTGCTTCGAATTTCGCAGGTTAAACATTTGTTACACGTAAACGGTTCACACTACTGAACATTATAAAAGGACGTATCATAATTGATTTTT